AATTTCATTTGATTTTGAAGTCAAAAAGGTTTTGGGTTGATGGAAAAAATAGCGTTGATTTTTCATCGTATCGAGAAAATCAGCTTCGAGCTGGATCATACGCCGCAGTTTACGGTAAAGTCGTTTTATAAGAATGGCGTTGTATGTACAAATTAATGTAGGTCGAACAATCGTAATGATTAGACATGGAAGAAGACGAAGTCTATTTTTGGTTAGTTATGAGATATACATTTCAAAATAGATATAAACTCGTTAAAATTCTTCTTCACATTATTAAAAATACCTGTCCTCTACACATAGCACCAGACTATCACCATTTTTCTTTGCAAAATTATTTATATATTCTATTCTATTCTTCTCTGTATCAAAAGCAACTTCTTCCTACGACGGTGAAATAAATAGGCTTCCAAAACGGTGCGACAATAAAAAACGATGGATATTACATAACTGATTAAACAGATTGTAGCATAACAACATCGCAGTAAACTGATTCTCTTTTATGTCTACAAAATTGACAGCTCATCGTTTTCCGCAAACCTAGTCTATCTAACTCGGAAACTGAAGGTTTCTTCAACGACGGTGAAAGTGTTCGAAAGTCTAAGAAGAAGTTAATCAACTGCAAGTATTGTTGCGACGTGACGATAAACCGTGGTGTGAAAAGTCAAGCGAGACGGAATCGCTTCGAGGAAGCTAGGCTGTCGTAATATCGATTAGTACTGTTAATCTAATAGGACACAGTAGCTTGATAGCCGTGATCTTGTTGTAACGTGAAATTATTTACTACGACCATCGCGATAATACGACAGCGTAACGTGCAATCGTTATTCCACGTGATAACGGCGCTCAGGCGAATTTATTAGTCGATTAGTAGGTTTTTAGTAATAGTATCTTAGAAAGCTGGTGCATAGCACGCTCTAGTTAATGCGTTTAATTTATGGTAATGGATTCCCATTGAATCTCGTGTAGCTTGTTACCTACTCTTCGAACTTTAAAGTGAAAGTATAGCAGTACATACGTTACATGTGTTGGTGCATTAAACACTCCTCTAAATCGTTTCCCAAGAAGTTTTCTGTCCTAAACATTCTAAGTTGTTTCGAAACATTTTAGATTGTTCAAAGTTTGATCATTCTATTTTGAAATATCCTTAATTGTTTCCCAGGAAGTTTCCTATTCTGAAACTTCCTACCAAAAACTTCCCTCTTATTAAAAGACATTCAATTAAGGTATTAAACAGTTACAACGATATTTACGAAAGATATTATTGTGTATATACACCATAATTCGTAAAAATCGGCAAAATTTAGACTACACACGATTATAAACTACCTATTAAAAAAGAGCAGTAATGCAATTTTGCTGTTACTATATACATTGCACTATTACATACATATATGTATCGTTCAAATAGCAACGCTTGTATTAACACTGGAACTCTCTCTGTCAATTTAGAAGATCCTACTTATAATTCAGGAAATAAAAAGAATCTGAAGATAAAGAGTGTGTCGAATGATAAAATAGTTCTATAAGATTTGATAATTATGATACAATCCCCACCTTCAATATTGGATGTCGCCTTCCAAAGATCAGTTTAATCCCGTCGGTATATTATTGTGCAGAACTACGGTGATTATATAGAATAAAATAGTAACAGTTCCATTTTTATGCCAAATTTTATTATTAAAATACGCTTCGTCGAAAATAGGCAAATGGATAACTTTAAACATTAATATATATTTCAACTAGAAAATTCAGCGGGTGAATAACATTTTTTTAACATACAAAAGGCACCGAAATTTCCACAGACACCGTATTCTATCCGTGAAAAGAACCATTCAGAGGCTCTTTTTTATGTAGAACGTGGTCGGCTAAGGCAATCCGCCGAAAATTTAAATGGACGCCATTATTCGCCTCCTTCGTTCCGAATACGCGCGCATTAGAAAAGTGACTCTTTTAGAACAAAGAAGGAAAACAGATACTCTACCACTTTCAGCTGCATTCACTGCATTTCATTCGAACGAACCATAGAACTAATTAATTAATTAGCTCGTAGAATTAATCGAGATCAATAGAAAAGGATTCACATAAACGATCATCGAACACTCGCGAGGATTTTAACGAACGATCATTATTCATTGATTATTACCTCTTCTGATGATGATTACACGACACAATAAAGAGGTTAGAAAGAGTGGTATCATATCGACAAAAGAAGCTTAAGACAAGAGGATCAGCGAAAGAACCGGATTCCTGTCAGCGATAGCTGCAGGAGCAAAACTGACAGAAATCGAGAGTCGGGATCTATAGCACCTCGAATGGACGATCTCGAGCATGACGCTAGCCTCGTTTTTCTTCCAATTTTAGACAATTTCTATCGTAAAATTGTTCTGGGCCATTAGTGTCCGGTGAACAATTCAAAGCAATCAGATTTACGGGGATATTTGAGCCTAAAGTGTCATTGCTTACATTCCTTCACAACCGTTTTAGGAAGAAACCATAAAATTTTATGGAATCGATTATATTATTTGCGCACATATCTGTTTGCGTTTTAGAAATATTCATTAACATTTTGAAGCAAACATAATCAGAATTGTGTCAATTATATCTCACTTAGTACTAGTCTTGAGAATAAATATAAGTATAATTATCATCGAAAGTTCATCTAATTCTAAGATTGTAATGGACGAACATCCAACACAATAAACAAATTTTAAACTACTACTATTAGTAGTATAGTAGTATGAACCTTGGAAAAAATAAGAGTTCAATTGGTTGACAGGATACTGACCAAACGCGTGGCTGATGCGAGCCTGAATGAAATAAAAGATATTAAAAATACAGAAAATGTCACTTTTTAAAATAACATTTTAAATTTTTTTCTATTGTGTTTTCTGTTCTAGACAGATGGTTTTTCGATAATTTTGTTTTATCTTTTAAATAATATATCCATCGAAAATACGCGCAAAGATTGAAAATGAAAAGAAAACCGATTACATTGTCGGCTCCATTGAAAAATACGGTTCTGAGAAAAACACATTTAATTAAAGAAAAGTGTTTCATAATTACCACTAATCTGTTGATCTAAATTCGCACAACATAAATACCTTTCTCCTGTTTGGAAAAAGTCTTACACCACTGGTTTATTTTCTCCAGGAGCAGTCTGTCAACCGGAATCTACGATCATTTAGATACGAGCTTGACAAATTGACTCTTTCGTGAAGATTTCATCGGTATGAGAAAATATGTATATAGACTATTGCTCGATCGATTTGGTGTACGCGCTATAACAATTACCGAGAAAATTGGAAGCAATAAATTGCAAACTAATCGAATGCTTGATGGACTTCTTCACTCCGATGGAAACGATTGCAAATACGCTGTCGATCGGCTCTGTATCGAATAGAAATTGCACAATTTCCTCGCGGTAATTCCATTATCCTAACGATTGTAGAATTTTGAGGAGTTTAATCGACTGTGATTACACGCTACGAACTACTTTCAGAAATGGCGAAACTACCCAAAAGAACAATAAACAGCAATGGGATCAAGTTTCTTGCGATAATTTCCTATTTATAATACCGAAAAAAATTGAAAACACGTTGTATATAATCTCCTATACGAATCGTTTAAATCAATCGATATCCAAATCGATCAACTCCATTCCTTCAAAATTCCTCTATTTTAATAACGATATACATAATTAATGTTCAATTTTCCAGAAACTTATCTGTGGGTTAATCGAAAACGATTAACATACAATAGTTCTATAGCTTTTATACTCCAACTGCAGCGTTTTCAAATGTTAAAAATTGTCGCACGTAGTCGAACCCTATTCATACTCAAAATACCTCATAAATACACAAAAATAAAACGTAATATCTAATATCTAGTAAATCAAACATCGTAAAGTGAAACTTCGTATTAGGATCACGATTGGTTGGAAATCGTGGAAATACAGAACTCGACCACATCGCTAACGATAACGATAAATAAGATTGGAACTGGCTCGAAATTTCGCTGACGATAAAGCAGATATTGGAAATTGACTGGGACGAAATTTCCGATGTATCGCCACGAACATTGCCGCGTACGATTCGTTGCGGCAATCCTTACAAAACGCCTGACATAAAACCCGATTGCGAATGTCGCGGAGGTTTTCATTTGATGTCGGATGATCCTGCTAGAGGACTGTCCGGTTGTTCCGCACGTACGTGTATCTGGGTCAGGGTGCTTTCTAGATATTAGGGGGATGATGCGCAAAATATCCCCACCACCGTGCAACATTGGTACAGCAACTTTTCACTGTGACGCACTAGCCGTGGACCATCTCGAATCACAGGCCGCCTAATTTTCTATTTAAACTTCGCTGAAGAACGTGCCTTTCAATCGACATCCTAGCAATTTTCCGGGGGACAGTTTGATTTCTACGAAATTCTCTTTGCAGTTTCTCAGGAACTAAACTAATCAGCTTATAAACTTCGCAATTTTATTATCCGGAATTAATTTTCAATGTCTGGAAAAGATAAATACTTTCTGTTTTATTTATCACAAGGAAACAGTATAAATAATTGGAGATACATAGCTAATATTAGAAAAGTAGGACTAAAGCTTTGCAAATATCATGAAAATAAATAAAGTCAATATTGATAAAGGTTATTTTTGTTGTGAATCCTCTAATTTTATTTTAGGCGTAATTAACAAATGAAGGGAATGGTAGTGACAAAATTTTGCAATCGTGGAATCTAATCAAGTAAAGTGGTTTGTAAAAAAAGAAAAATCCAAGGGAACTGATAAAGACATAACTTATCGATCGATTCCTAGTACGCGCGGTGCAATAATAGCACCGGAAACTATTATTGAAGTACTATATCACAATTGTTCAGCCTTCTACGAAAACGCCCAGGCCTTCAACATGTTTGTTCCAGAGAAAAAATCGATTCACGTTAGTTGTTAACCTGTCACTTTCAGCGAAATCTCTGCTAACAAATATGTTTTTGTTTCAGGACAAACTATTGACGAAGCTGGAGAAGAACGAACCGGAGTTAGCGTCCTCTCAGGAAGACGAGGTGAGCATGTAAACGATTCTCTTCGATAGATCTTCATCTTATTTATTATACTTTATACTTTTTTAAAAGTATTCCATTCTAACATTCAAATGTCTAATTTTCTTAATGTTAATAATCGCGTAGACTTAAACATGTCGATCGAATGTCAATCGTCTTACCATTATGATAATTAGGCTGTGGATACTTAAGCATATTTATATTGTTATAAATATAACTTAAAAAATGAAAACTAGATAGACATTTGTTGTATTTGTTAAATATTATAAGGAATACTATATTTTGGATACGTTATATATTTTTGCACGTTATGTATATTCTATGCATCTTTTGCACTTATCTTCCATAGATGCATAAAAATCCGCAGTCTAGTTATAATACAAACTACAAAATTCCATTTTTTGCGAATTATTAATCCTTGGAAAATTTCAAGAGAATATTTCTCTTCTTTTATAAAATTCTACTTTATGCTGCAAATACACTTTTTAAAAATCAGCAGTATAATTGTAATATAAACTACAATGTTCTTTTTTTCACGAATTAGCAATCCTTGCGAAATTCTAAGAAGAAATTTTACCTTTCTCTCTGTGAAGCTTCTCTTTATCTTCACTGCAAAATTACTTAAAAAATTTTTTTATTTTATCGACTATCAACCACATTACAGTAAGAAAAAAATACTCGCAATGATTAGTAGTGCACGACCTTTCCCTGGTCAATCAGGTTTGAAAAATTCTCGGCCCACTCGGCAGTTGGTCATAAAAATCGGATATTTCGATTGAGTGGAAAACCGCAGAGGGAGAAATTACCACTTAATTCTGGCGTAGAATGAAAGAAATTTTCAGTGAAATGTCGAGGTAACCCTCGATTTAATTAATACCTCTGGAACACTGTGCGGGAAAGGTCCCCCCGACTGGTCCCAATGGAGATTAGGTCAGCTGCATTTTCTTACGCGTTTGCCTTCGCCTTTTTTTCTTCAAGGTTGCTCGAGGTAACCTCGTTACTTTCTTTCTTATTGCCAGGGACAAGGCATAATCAAGCCTAATTCGTAATTTTGCCAGAAGGAGAGACGATGATTGGCGAGGGAATGAGATTTGCGCGGTACCCTCGCGAGGAAAGAGAGCGGAATAAAAGAAATCGTTCTCTTTTGATGTCTGGGGAAAAATTTCATTAAATCAATCACGATTGACAATGAGATTTCGATCATTTTTACGCAGCATCCTTTTCTACCTATCATCTCTCACGGATCTGAATTAATCGAGAAGCGTTGCTGATTGGAAAGTTCTGTTATTAAATTTTGTTTTTGTATATTTGTAACTTTGTCTGGAGATTTTCGTAAATAAATGAGACAGTAATTGACTACGATTGAAGATAGTACGCGACAAGTTGTCTAGTTTTGACAAAGTGTAATTTAATTACGAAATTACAAATGGGAGGATCTTGGATGATTCTATTCTTTACCAGAGTTGTTGACATGATGCAACTTAATTTTGGAAATTAATATGCAATCGAAAGATCGGCAGCCAGAGGCGTCAAACATTTTGGAGCAGTTTCTTTACTTATTCAAGTTCATCAAGATCTTTAAGTTTTTGTTAATTTAATCAGTTAAGTGTTTTATAATAAAGTATATTACAGACGCTATATTTTTTAAGAGTTACAAATACAACTTATAATGAAGAGGCTGCTTTTATATCATTTCCTAGATAGATTGGTGGTTTGTTTAAATTATCAAATTATCAAACGAAAGCTTTTTGATAGAAAAATCATTCAGTACATTAAATTAGACTACAGAGGTACTGAAAAAATATTTCAGTAAAAAAATGAAAAATTCGATAGCAATGAAATAAATGAATTCCCACGAAATAAATGAACAAAATAAATAGTATTAATATCAATGACCAATTAACAACAATTTCAGTGAAAGCAGATTTCTTTCTTTTCAAACAATAAGATCGTCAGGGTCTTCCAGTCAATTTCATATCAGACTTAATTTTAGTTTGAATAAATTTTGAGGTGAACGAACGTGGACTATTTCAGACATTAGGGAAAAAATCGTTGCGCGAGAGGAAAAGCTTAAAAACAGGCATTTCGAGACTGGCCTCGATCTTAAAAACTAAATCCGCGTTATTTTGAACTACGCAAGTTATTTTCAACAACGACAGAATCAGAGTGGAGAAAAGGAAGAGAAGCTGGCAGGTACAGTGACCCAGAAAGAAATTAATACACCAAACGAGCGACGACACAAGGGCTGCAGAGAGAATTTTCGACGGTCAAATGGACGCTGCATAGAGAGGAGAAGCCTTTCTGTTCGTTCGAAAGACAGCCGCTGGTCCAGAAAAGTTGCAATTTCCGAGCGAATAGGCTGCTCAATGGGTTGAAAAAGTCGATTAACGAAGCTGACAAAGTGGTTGCTACGACCCTGCGACTCCTGACATGTTCGTCCACCCTCGAGCAGCTATTAATATTCCAATTTAATCGACGCTTCATTTGGTTATGTCCATTACAATCCTCTAGGTCTCTGGAGATAACGCCTCAAAGAGGTAAACAGGGATATTTTATTCGTAATTATGCTTGAAGAATTTTATGTTATTATACGAAAATGGATAATTTATTAAATAAATAAATTTATCATGTGGAAGAATTATTCTATTGGTATCATCAAAGAACTGATCAACTTAATATTGTTAATTTTATTCGAAGTATTTGATGTTATTATGTGACGATGGAAAATTCGTTTTTTAATGAAATCATCTTGTAAATTCTAAATTATTAAAGAATTAGCTGGACTCGATTCTACTGACTAACGAGGAAAATTTCTTGTTTAAAGAAATCATCTTGTATCAAAATGTCATCGAGCAGTTGGTTCGAGATTTAATAAAGACTTAATCCTAATGACTGAGAAGAACGATTCGTTGACAGGAAGATTAATTACTTGAAATACTATAAAAAGGGAGTATTTTTCATTTATTTAAATTCAAGTGGACCATGTATTCGTATATACTTCGAGGTCTTACGGAGCGACATAGTTTGTGCTAACATTGCGAAACATATTTTGAATAATATCTATATCCCAACACCACTCTTATTATCAATAATAGCCGCCACATTAAATATGAAATATAAGAAATAAAAGATCAAAAAATTGAAGTAATTGCGGAACACCAAACGATCATAAATCATTCAAGAACATTAGGAAAATAACTTTTGCAAGTTGCATCGTACGAGAGGAAATAATCGATTATTGTTTATAGAAAAACAAAGCACACAGGCTTCGTTTAAGACGGCTGGTTACATAATTTGGAGACAATGGTTGGCATTATTATCGTCGGTGAGCGAATTAGTTTCCTGAGAAGATAAGTATCGCTGTCATCAAAGCCGGTGCTAAGTAAACGATTCGGCAAACGATAACATTCGGACGAGTTACAGTAATTATCTTCCGTGCATCTGTGTTGTAGAATAATATTTTTTCAACTAACATCACGAACCATCAGGATTCTTCCATTATCTGCGGCTACGATTGCGACAAAGAACGTAAGAAAAAAAAACAAAAAGATAGGAATCGTAGCTTCTGTGGAAAAATAAGCGACAATGGAGGTAGCTGATAATGACACCCAACCATCATTTCCTTTTCAGCGAATCCTTTTTCCATGCACCTGTGCAATATCTGATGCATCTCATTCCATCTCCCCTTTTCATGTAATCACGTCGTGACTATTTATTCGACGGGCCAAAAGCGAGAGAAACAGTGTCGAGTGTCGAGATATCAGTGAATATGAAGTATCTCCTCGTTTGCAGCGTGGTCGCTTTGCTGGGACTCTCTGTAAGCAAGCTTTTCCCTTTATTTATCAAGCTTCGAGTACAGAAGATATTATTTTAATTATTTTTTCAATTCTACTAACCTTTTGCATCCATTTTTTTATACACATAATTTGGGTCATGTATATGCCGAGGTTGCACGAATTAAATTAAATTGATACATTAAATTGACGAATTGATAGCAATATGAATAGACCTAAAACCTACATTAGAGTCATATGAGCAAATCTTTTATACAGAATCAATGTACTCTTTGTAGCATGTTGACATAAAAATTAAGAGAGGATAATTTAAAAAGGTAATAAACATTTCCTGCTTTTCTACTTGCAACTGAAGTACTTAGTCAATAAGTAGACTGCGATATTTATACGTTTATAAGATATTTAAATGTTCCAAATTGTATAGAATACACAGAATATACTGAAATGCATAAAGTGAAGTAAATTACTCGTTGTAGTATTCAATGGATAAAACGAACCTTTATTGATTCTATTTCTTTGTTAGTTATAGTTCATAAAAGTGTAAATTTACATAAACATCCACAGTATATGGATTTCTATATAAATTTTCATTTTTATAGACATAACTAAAAAGATAAGAGATTCGCTTGAATCTTTAAATGTCATAAACCAATACATATCTCGAATGTTTTATATTACATCTACATTCCAGTCATCTTTTTTATCTGTATTTCCAAATGTATTTCCAATGTATTTCCATATATTCCCAAACTTAAGTAAGCCTAGAACTCGAGATGTGAAATCAATTTATTTTTGTCAAATCAAGAATCAATCTATTTTACCTACTCTACTGCCTCGCTATATCATGACCCAAATAATAACTGAAAATCCAAACTACCTAAACTAAACTATCTCTAAAAATAATTCGAGGTCCTTGGAGCTCCCTCGGAGTCTAGTTCCTCCAGTTCTGCCAACCTTCACAGTGATCGAGAAAAACGCAGCCCCCAAGATAACTCTCAAAATTGCGGCCCACCACCGAATGGATCACCATGCGGGCCACCTCCAGGATCACCTCCAGGACCACCCCCAGGTATGTCTCCTGACGATATGGCCCAATCGGGGCACGCAATGATGTCTCAGTCTGGATCCTCTGGATTCGTGAGTGGAGATATGAAGAGAAGCAGAAGGGCTACTCGAGGAGGTGGAGACGGTGGTGGAGGAAGAGGGCGAGGAGGTGGTGATATGGGAGGTGGTATGGGTGGTGGATTTGGAGTTGGCAGGGGTGCTAACGTTGGTGCTGGAGGTCAACATGGAGGTGGGTTAAGAAGCGCGAATAAAATATAAATTGACACTAGAACTACACCGAGTTGAGAAATTATATTTGAACACTTGCTATAGAAAAGTTTTATTTCCGTTTCTGCACATGATGCTTTTATAATAAAGTTAATTAAATTGTTGAACAACAATTTACTTATTTATATGCTTGGTATCGTGGAAACGGTATATAAACATGAAAAAATATATGATAATTATGTTTCTGTTTTGATAAAAGTGAACATTCATTTTGTCAAAAGCACTTGTGCATTTTTTTATTAATTACAAAGCAGCTAATTTCGTTGAGCTTGGTAATTCTAGTGATAATAATAAGGATCATAATGAGATTGAATGTTTTTAGAGCACTATTATGTTACAGGTGGCATGGAATAAATAAATTCACGAACATCGTAGCTTTAAGGTGATAGATATATGGAATTCTAGAAATGGTTATGAAACTGCTGATGTAGTGTAGATTAGCACGTTGAAATAAATCAGTTGATAAAAAAACAACCTGTCTTTGAAATATCATCAACCAAATTTTTAGACCTTAGATCCTGATCCTTAGGCAAACTGTCTTCTTTGAGGAAATTTGTGATCCTTTGCTGGATCAAATGTTACTTGTTTAGCCACTGAAAGTCTCTGCTGACCAACCAGAAACTCCCAGTGGGAGTTCATTGGATTTATCTTTCGTTTCCTCGTGCGAATCGCTCGATGAATCTCAAATGGGGTGGAGAATGATCAGGCTAATGCGCTTTGTCGAGATTAAATTTTAATTACTCTTCTTTCCCTTCTCGTAGTGCGTGATCTGTGTGAATGCCAGGGCCACGATGCAAACTGCTCCCTGCGGCCATCGGGTTGTTTGCAGGTAAAATGATTTTTTTTTTTTGCATCCTTTTGTGCGTACTATATCATGCATACTATACTACAATATTCTCGCATTTATACATATATATCTTCTCTATCAATGATTCATTCTAGATGTCATTGATTGAAATACTATCTGGTAGTTTTTGTGTCAATTTAGAAGAATCTTCATTATCTCGACATTATCTCGTTATCAATAAGACAAATACATAAATGAGCAATAATAATTTACAACCAAATTTAATTACGTTCACCACATTTTTCTTTGAATCATTTTACAGGCGTTGCTTCGTCAAAACGATACAAATGGCGGTGTCACAGAGACTTTTACCACTGAGATGCGTCATATGCAGAGCAAAGATTCTACGCCTGAAACAAACCCTCATCCCTCGGGACGTAAGTAGTACAAATAATGAACATTGTTTTCTTCCAGTTCTCACACTCTCTCCCTCTACCTACCTGCTATACCGACTTATTTACTATCTACCTACCTACTACCTATTTATCTACTACCTACTTACCTACCACCTACCTACCTATTTAAGTACTTCTCACTCTCGTCGAAGAACACCCTACGACGTGTTGTGTTTTACGATTATTTCGTGATGCAATTTTTTCACTCGGAGTTTCATAGAAACGTATGCAACCAGAATAAAACGGTCTTCGTGCTCGCCGATGTGATTGCAGGGGTGTAAAATCGTCGTTAATTGGAGCGAACCGGGAAAGCACTTGTCGCCTTGCTAGCGAGGCCAAATGGGCTCGTAAGGCATGACGTATGACCATTCTTTTTTGGAACAGTTTTAATAAATATCATTTCGACTCTCTTTTCACACCAGCGGCTCTGCAATTAATTTCGTGAAATATTAAACACGAACATGGGATACCATCCGTAAATTATTGGTTTTGTTCATACAACCTTGCTGAAACCGATATTTCGTTTCTATAATATAACTTCAAAGCGATTGCTCGTTGGCCGTATTTGATAAAAATGAATCGATGAAACTTTCTTGAGCTAGTATGATAGTTTCATATGAATGGAAATTTTGGACGATGTGAATTGGATATTTTATTAATTTCTGAATATTTTAACAAATATTTGACTTTCAAGCGCTAGATATTGTATAGATCAAGTGCTTGAGATTAGGGTGTAATTAATTAATTTACTTCAAATTGAGGGTTAAATTAAGGATTAAGCGAGCGACCCATGCTACTTAGTTTGTATTTGAGGGACCCTTTTTGCGTTACATTCTACTTTCGTAGTTTTAATATATCTATATAATCCTAATTTTATTTTAGCATCAGAACTTTATTTCGCTTAAAACATTTACACCTTCTCATCCTTCCTGACATACTACCTACATTTTATGATACCTTTTATAATTCCTTTTATAACACTTTTGCAAACTTTAATACATTTCTATAACGTCGTATGATAAATCTTGCAATATCTGTATTTTATAGTACTCGATGTCTGGAAAGTCTTGGGTTCTGCCACAAAGCGCGTCAGAGTATAACATGGGGACAGGAGTGCCAGTGGGAGTGACTGGACCTGGCGGTAGATGGGTCGCCGGAAATGTGCCAGCCTCCGCCTCTTTGTACTCTATGGCCAGTGGTTCATCCTCTATTTCCGGTTCGCCATGTTCCTAACAAATCACAAAATGAATTACCTCTTCTATAACATTATCTCAATGTTTTAGGAGTGTCTTCCGTATCTTCTTCGAGTTCGTCTTCTGCAAGTAGCACTGGAAGCTCTAACCTTGGGAAACCTACGAGGGTGAGGCAACCTTCTGGCGCGACTCTGAGACGCTCACAGACGCAATCTATGAAAATGAGAATTCAGGTTGTTTAAATTTGTTTGGAAATTCTAATAATCGAATTCATATACGTATATTAAAAAATAGAATAACATAAAATAAATATTGATAAAATGTTAGAGTTCAATTTGTTTCGTTTATTATTGTTAATAGGAGTATCAAGATCCGATTCAGCAGGTCGTGGAAGAGGAAGAAGTGATGAGGGAAAATCGGGATCGCAGGTTGCCGCCGATCAAGGAATTCCAGAGGGACTATCGTGCAGGAAAAGCATCCACTAGGATAAGGTAATAAATTATTAAATCTTTTGTACAGATTTTCGATCTTTTCTTCATGAGCATCAAGGTTCTTCGTTTCGTACGCATCAATTGAGATTTCAAGTGAAATAATGATTCATACAGTTCTTTAAATAGTAATTCTTTGACTTCTAATTTCCCAATAAATATCCACGTTTATCTAAATTTTCGTAAGTGTCTAATACTTATGCACAAGTTCCTATTTTATAAAACTGCTTCGTGAAAACTTAATTTGTCTATTACTAAATTTGTTTGCTATATAATATACGACATACCCTCAACTTCTATTCACCAGATGTGCTCAAAAAATCGTGACTCAATTGGAAACGTCGCCGACCCCGAGAGATTCTAACAACGTGAACAGCTCGACGTCCTCATCATCGACGAAGTCTACGTCGAAGAGGCCTCAGTCAGCTCCGAAGCTGTCGGTGGTTCAGGAGATTCAGAAGTCGAAGAAGGAGAAGGAGAGGGAGAAGGAGCGGGAGAAAGCGGAGAAGGCTCGTCAGAAAGAGGAAGAAAAAGCAGAGAAGACTAGACAGAAGGAGGCCAAGAAATTGGCCAAGGAGGAGAAGAAAAGAGCGAAGAAGGAGGCGAAGGCGAGGCGAAAGGAGGCCGAGGAAGCTCTCCTTAGAGAGTAAAAGTAGTCTTCGAGTTGAATAGGAACGACAAGTAGAAGTTCACAACGATCAATAAAGTATTCGAAAATCCTCAACATAGGATTTTCAATGCGATTGATCTTGATCGCACTCGGGGTCCGTTCAAGCTGCATCGCGAACGCGATAGTCATTAAAAATGAAAAAATGAAATCAAAGGATTCACGAGCATTTTGTAATTCTTAGAGTCTAGTTAGTATTCTTCTCGAGGCACGTGCGATCTCTTTCGATTCTTTGAGATCGAAGAGTGCACGGTGTCGCCAACGATAGCGTTTCATTCCGGAGAGGAAGGGTCTATTTATCGACTATATTAATCGCTTTATTTGACAAACAATTAGGATAAGGCGTTTTAACATTTTATAAAAAGGGCGCGAGACGTAGGTGTTGCTTTCGTGAGGCAGCTTGAACCAAAGGCAATCCCGAGGGACGCGAGGAACGTATAGCGGCGATATAGAGACGTATATCTAAGATAACCTAGAAGCGGCCAAACTTAGTAACCTGTCATATCGAGTTATCGCGGACTAATAATACTAATCGATAGGAAGACTCGAGAAAAGCGTAGCGCTACGTTGCTATTATTTGATTATCGCGTAATCTTTACCCTTTATCCTGGGCGTTTCCTTTTTGTAGGAACAGTAACCTCGTGACGTTTTGTCGTTACTTTTTTTATAGGATCATCCATCGAATCATTCTCATCGATCTGACTAAACGTAACTTGAATCGTCGGTCGTTTTAGCGGTTAACGAACACACCGATCCGAGACCTATTTTTCGACTCCGCTTCACGGACAATACTTTGAGAAAAACGTAGTTTAATTCGCAGTTAAATCTCCCCTTTGTCACATTCTAAGAAAAGAAAAAAAGAAAAAAAGAGACACGTAAAACAATTCTTCATCAGTAGACTACGGATGTTTATGAATTTATGAAAAATTCCGAAGTGCAAGAATGTACAGAGTACACGTTATATGCAGAAATATATAAAGTATAACATAAAACAAAAAAGTATTCTTTGTAATATTCCGTAGGTTTAGAAAGACCAGTTTTTTAATTATGTTCGTAAAAATACGAAATAAACATCCGCAGTTTGCTCGTTAGCAATCTCCGATCATTCGATCATGAAATTGATAATCCTGTTCCTCCAATCGATTTGTAGTAATCATCGTTAGTTCGTTAGAAACTCTAACATTTCCTGTTTCCGTTCTTCATCCCTGAAACTACTCCGAAAGGAAGAACAAAAACACGAAAACATGCAAAAATTTGGGATAATTAAACGCGAAAAAATTCCCGCGGTACTTCATCGAGTACTGATTAAAAGTACTAATTTCGACAGCTAAAGAGATACATATGTACGTTCTTTTTCACTTTCATCCCTGCCGATTGAATTATTTCACCATTTTCTTCGCGCACATATGCGTGCGTGTGTATATGTGTGTGTGCGCGCGTGTGCGTGTATGTGTACATATTCGCGAGACGAGTACTCGTTTCACTTCGGGGAAGACGAACAATTCGCGTAAATATACTACGATAAGCCTAAGCGAGGGTTCGACTAATCGAAGAACACGCGAAAGTGTGTCTACGGCGGAATAGTAAAAAGAAAAAAATAAAGAAAATGAAAAAAATAATGATAGTACAATACCGATAGATAGAAATGACGAAAGCAGAGTTTCGAGTGCAGTGCGTGCCTCGTTTATCGACTTTTCGTGATTACCGTAGATGCGTAGCGTTTTATCGATTCATTTAATCCTCTTCTCTCTCTCGAGACGCGGCTCGAGAAGCTTAATTAATCGATGAACTATAACTTACAAAACTATTACCCTTCGCCATGTTACACTAGACGCTATTTCAGAGATCCCCTTTTACCCTTGTAACCCTTTTACTGGGCGGAGGCAAGGTAATTACTCGTTTCACAATAACCAGTCGTGTGTGATGATGTTTGTACATGTAAATTCGAGAACTCGTCGGATATTATTCTCTAACTTGTATTAAAAACAGCTTTGACTAAATTCAAACAAGAAGCTAAGAATTTGTGGTTTTATCGGAAAGTTAGAGCTTCAGTCAAAGGGTTACGGAGAAGAAAGACATACAACAAAAAGAGAGAGAGAGAGAAAGAGTAACTGTATACATATTAAATATTATACGTAATGTCCTACTATACTCGGATAAGAAGAACGAAAGAAGGAGAGAAAGTAGGTTGAATATCACGAGTATACGATTCACGGTTACGAGACTAATCCGCGATTAAACCTCTTTGAAACTGTTCTCACCCTCTGCCCCTTGCCCCCATACTTTTCAACCCCTCGGTTCGATGAGCGATACTGGATAAAATGATGCTCGGGGTAGAATTAATAATGTTTGAATCGATATTCTATATTATTATTAGACAAGATGGCACTTCGTCCTTGCTACGAGATCGGTTACTTGGAATTTCGAGTTTTCGTTTTAGTCTCACGATGATTGGAAAACAAGCCAGCATCGCTCCGGAGCCAGCTCAAGCAGCCAAAAATCAAAAGCAATTTTTTACAACGCGCGACAATGATTTAAAAAAAAGAAAAACGACGCGATATCAAAAATATACGAAAATGAAGAAGCGAAGCGTGCAGATGTGAGAATCTTAAAGAACAAAGAGAACAAGGGTTGCAGACATCTATTATTGGTAGATGATAATCTCTGGAAAAGAAGAGATTTGTCGATTCATTTTTCCGATACGAATTCGTTTGTAAATTACACCCTACTTCGTTCTTCTTGTGTCATTTTGTTACGCATGAAACGTGCGTTCAAATGTTGTTCGTCCTCCTCCAACTTGACCTAATTTATGCACTGCCGGTAATTTTTATTTCTTAACGATCGAACTTGCGAGGGAAAAGTGACTGTTATCAAAGGGCGTGTTCCCAGGAGCGATCATTCGTAGAATTCGAACCAGTTTAGTCGACCGTTATCTTTTCTATAAAAAAAAATCGATCACGTTCGACGAGGTGAGGGAATCGCCTCGTTCCGATCAGATTATTTTCATTTCCTTTCTTTTCCTTTATCTTTCTTTCGTCTTGCGTAGGTAAGGTTTTTCTCACAGAGCGAACAAACGGTCTCTCGAGAAAGTCTCCAGTTTTCCTCTGTTCGAACGAGCTCATGCAAGACTCGCGTACAGACGAATCTCGACGAGAATCGAACTGCGTCCTCTCTGTAGCGATAACGAGGAATCTTTTGTTGCCTGTTGTTGGTGAACTTTTAAACGGTAAACCCGTTCTATGAATATCAATAGCAACATTTTATCCACACCGAAGCACGGGAATATTTCAGTTTCATTTCAATTTCAATGTATCGTGAAACAAGCCACAAATTGCACGCAGTAAAGGAATTCTTGTTTCTTACTTTTCTTTGATCTTTACCATTTCGAATAGAAACAGGCAACAGCAAGCAACAACTTCTGTCACGGGCAACAGAAGCGAAGAAACGTGGAGAAACATTTCGAGAAACATCGAACGTTAAATATGGAATTGTTTTTCGCTGTTGCTTCAGCGGAGATGCAGAGACTCTCCTTTGATTTAATCGCGACGCATTCGATGGAATGCGATGAAGAAACTCGACAGACGATCTTTATTGTATCCGAGAAAAACATCGCGCACATATCAGTAGTGATTAATGCAATTTTACTTGGCGTCTTTGCTCGAACTTCAAATGTCGAATCGTCTGGTTAACATGTTGACTGCCGATGATGCCACGTTGGCGTCACGCGCAAATGATTTTCAATTGACGTCGGAAAGAGGTCGATGAGTTTGAAGAAAAAAATTTCAGTCGCTATAAAAGGCAGTTAATGTGTTAAAAACCCAGCGAAAGGTCGGATCTTCATCGTCAGGCTGCGAACAGTGGAGTGTAACAACGTGTCGAAGACGCTACCAATTAGCGTGTAATGTAGACTGTCAATTATTACCTGTTACATCGGTTTCATCCGTAAACGAGTCTCGAGCATTTTGGAGAACAAGCACATTGTGTGGTCGACGAATTCTCTGAGTAACCACTCAAGCGCCACTCGAACTCTGTTAAGCAGAAGCACGCTTCTTTAGGGTTCAATGGAGGAGTGTCAAGACTACACTGCGGATTTTTATGTGTCTATGCGAAATTTAAATGTGCAAAAATACATAAAATAAATATTTTAATTTACCATAAATATTTCAACCACTTAACGCACATGACATATAAGAATATGGATTCAAGAGCTACGATTATCTTATATGCGCATTAAAAAATTGAAAAAAAAACACATATATATCTCATAAAACATATAATATCCATTTACAGTGTCAGAAATTGAATGATTCGCATTAGTAAGCCCGAGGAAAAATTGTGCGTTAAGGAATCAAGTATTTTAAATTCTTATAAAAGTCATCCAAAAGTGACATCGATCAGTCCCATAAACTGAAAAGTATTGGAAAATGACGATATTATAAATAATGGTTTTTAAATTTACTTTAGAATTTAACGTGGTTTGCATTATTTTCTTGCGATAGATGAATTATAGAAATAACTCATTCGAATTTGGAGAGTAATTCATTTCTCGAGAATTCAATGTTAATCGTCTACGTATGCGTCGAAAGAAACTAACGAGAAGCGAAGTTGATCACTTTGGCATTCCTGCTCAATTCTCATCTCTAATTAAGTTCATAAAAAATATAAATTGACATAAAAATCCGCGGTCTAACCGAGAGAATCTTCACGCGTTCACACCACGGATCGTTTCATTGCGTTTGTGAGACTTTCTCGAATCGAATAACGAAAAGAAGTGATGGACAAGCAACAGGAAGAAGACGAGGAAGATGAAAGTGTCGGGAAAGAGTGATTGAGTAGAAGAGATCGCAGAAACAGAGAGAAGGAAAGGAAGAGAGTGCGTGCGTGAGAGAGTGTGCGAGTGTTTTCTGCCATCGTAAAGTCAATTTTATCGTGTACGTATGTATATGTATCGTCTGAAATGCGCGCGCGCGCATCCAATAAAGCGGACGCTGCAGGTAGGATATTTTTGCTGAGATTCAGCGGACGATTCTCCGGTATACGTGGCCTGAAACTCGAAACAGACGAGAAACGAGGAAAGAATATACTAGATGTTAATACTGATCGCTGAAGTCCAGCGATTTTATTATTGCCATAGTTTGATCGTAGAAGATTAAATATCTTACGATCTGACTATAATTTGGACTTCTAGCGTCTGATGTGTTTGTATAAGATTTTGGTCCTTTTGTGATGACGAATTCTACGTCTTACTCGATCCACCGATCTGGAAGCAAAACGACCGGAAAATACGATGCACAGATAATGATTCGCTAGCCTTGATCAGTGATACGATCGATGCTGTATAAGGATTGAAGAAACAAACTAGACGGGTTTAACATCCTTTGGCAGTGTGATAAAATAACGAGAAATTGAAAATGAACGATTATAATAAGCAATTATTTCTTTATCGTCAAGATCTTTTCGAATTCATTACTTTGGATGGATTGAACCTTTTAATAACACGATAGTTTAACGAAACATTCAGAACGAGCGATTTAAGAAATAATTACACATTTGTTTATCATCAAGATTCCTTGCGTTTATAGAACCAGATACAAACACTTCTTACGAGAAACAAATATTAACAATTGCATTAATAAGTATATTTAACGTGTAAAATTTGCAGTACCATATTTCATAGTATTTAATGGCCTCTCTTATGTTACACTGTGAAAGGCTTCAGCTACAAGAGTTCATCACGCATGAATGAACGAAAGAATCATCTGAAAGGAGATGGAGAGCAAACTAAAATATCTAGAGACACGAAATTTGTTGGCAATAATATTCAACTTAAAAAACTTAAAATAAGGAAGCAGGGAAAGGGAAAGTGAGACGAGAGAGACGAATCGTGCGGCGTCTGTAGTCGATACAGCGCGACGTGCATGTATCGCGTTCAATGCGTACAGAGAACAACTTTATTGTACTTTATCGTGTAAGAGAGATTTGTAGAGAGTTTATATTAGGCCAATTGTCACAGCGAGAGTTCTACGATAGCGATGTTCTTTCTTCAACAGTCGTGGCCAACTATTCAAAATCGTTCCCAATCGAAAAGAAATGCCGTTTTGCTTCGCGTCTGATCTACCGTTTTAATTAGCTCATATTATTCTCTTTTTCCCCCTACCCTCCCCCTAGTTTTATCCACGAAGCTTGCAATCGATCGACGCTCAATAATCGACGAGACAAATTGGAGAAATAGCATCACGTGGACGAAGCAAAGTGCTAAAAGTGACGCAGCGACCTCGAGCAGCCCAAATAGTTGGCCACACCTACAGCCACAAGAGATCATGTCGCGTTTCAGCGTAATACTCGCGTAACAATTGCCTCGACGAGATGAATTCGTATTCGTATGGTCATTAAGACCATCAAAGGATACCTCAAATGTCAGTTAAGAACGTATACACGTAGTAATAATTTTCGTTCGTTTTCAAGATACCTGTTCTTGGCCAAAGATAGATTAATAGAACTGTGTTTAGTATCAATTTAGAGTAAACGTGATTCGTTTATCTAATAGATGATTTCCTATTATTTTATTTATTTTATTTGGAAGGATTCATCAGAACAAGAAGCTGGTTCCGTGTGCTGAAAAATCAAAATTTACAGACTTATATAACTAATTACAATAAGAGGTTGATTAGAATAATAATATTAGAGTAATAATAAATAAGACGCAATGGAACTTTGCTTCTTCGTGAATCCTTTAATGGATATCGTTTTGAACGCGTGAAGACTTGGATAGAGTGAGGTTCGATAATTAGATTTGTAGATTGTCTGGTTTCTTTTTTACTGTGCGTTTTTTAAGTAGAATCAGACGTCGAGCTAACAAGGGCGAAAAGAGCGTGGAGAGACATTTTGAAATGGTAGATTTTATCGATTCTATTTTTCTTAGTTTCGTTAAGAATGTGAGACACGCGAGAAGAGGTGGAAGAGAGTTCTACAAGGATTGTATTACGCGACGTGTTACGATCTGTACGAATAGACGACGAATATGAACAAAAATCAAATAAAACGTTACAGTGAATGTTAGCTAACCCCTTCCTATTTTTTCGTTACGCCAATCTAAGGAATTTCCAACTTCCCCAGCCAACCCCAGGGAAATAATTTTCACTTAAAGATATGAAGTTTTGTTTGCAAATATTATATTACAAAATTGTAATTGTAAGATCGTCAAGTTTAACCTGAAATATGTAAAAGTATTTCTATTTAGATTTCATCTTTCTCACCAAGCATATATTTTACGTTGCATTCAATATTTGCTTGCAACTTTCTAAGAAAATACTCACTTTTTTCTCTTATTATGACATTACATTATTTTCTTCTCACTTTCACTTACAAACTTATGTCCCTGTAATTTGCCCGAAAAATTGGAAATACCCTATATTAAATTCTCCTGATCATTCTCTGTTCTATCAATCTTCGGTCAACGATCTACGATCTAGGATAATCTAGATCTTTATAATGGAAAAAATAAAACAGAGTTCTTCATGATCGACTTAATACAGTCTTTTCCCAATAGAGAGCGTTCTAATCCGAAGCAAACAAGGTAATTATACACTTACATTGCTCTTTTATTTAGTCGCTCTTAGCATGAACACCTATCAACGTCTCTTTCGTGACGTGACACCCAACTATCAACAATGTATCTCACTGATATGATAAAAATAAGGCTTGTCACGTTATACATCAGTTTCTTGCACATTGGGATCGTTAGAACCACGCTCAAAGAAGGTATAATAATTTCATCGATTTCCAATTCGTGCATGTATTTATTTTCTGATCATCAGTGACCTTTCATTAGTTATCAAACCAGCCGACTTCTGCCGATGACAACATAATCGAAATGATACTCATCTTTAAAATTCTCCAGCTTCTTTATATTCCGTACATTTCCTCTCATTCATCTCAGGCGCTTACAATCATTTTCATGCATAGCAACGATGATTCTCCAGTCAGAATATAAAATTTTGTTCGCAGTCAATTTCATATCTTATCAGTATACAAAGTGTAAGTGTTTCGCACGTACATCGTGGATAGAATTGACCGAGTATCTTTTAAAACAGAATAACTGTTTTAGAATTGGGCCAAACAAATTGATTTTTTTCCTTTTTTCTTCTTTTTTTTGGAGTAGTTGAAAGAATTAGTTGACGATTAATTGAATAATTAAATGACGTATAATAAAATTCAGAATATTCTAATCGGCCGGAGTTGCGAGGAAGAAAGTAAAGCTTACTTTTTACAGCATTCTTTATCTGGGCTTGTAATCAAAATTTAAACAACACGTTTTATATTAGTTGGAGTTATGTTAGTCATGTGTTAAAAATTTTATCAAAGTCAATCGACGCGGAAGCAAGCAATTTTCAGCACGTATATAACTGATATAACTCTTCAAAATTTGTTGTTTAAATTTTCATTACAGACCCCGGTAAAAAAGTAACCTTAGCTCTTTTTCTTCCCGATTCCGATCAATTTTCAAAAAATCAATGTCTTCAAAATTTGTTTACACCTCATCTAGTAAACTAGTCCTTTTAGCTGGTCGAAAACAAAATCAAGTCGCTTGTTTCCATTTTGAAGAAGTTATTCTATTTTAAAAAGTGCCCGTTTTATTCTGCCCACGACTGCATGTATACGTGCATAGATTCCCGAAGGAGCGAGGCTCAATCGTTCCATAATTTTTAATGAATCACTTACTTCCTCGGTATTCAGATACTAAACATTGGCGGGAATTAGCTGACGGAGAATTGGAGAAGGCTTTATCGTACAAATGGAATGTGAATACAGCGAAGAATGTGATCATTTTCGTGGGCGATGGCATGAGTCCTGATACAATTACCGCTAGTAGAATATTTCGTGCTGGTGAAACCAGCCAATTGTCTTGGGAGAGTTTTCCTCATATAGGAATTCTTAAGGTCTACGTCCAACAATCTTCTATAATCGTAGTATAATTCTATAATGTCGAATGTATTCTATGCACATACAGAAAAACTCTTTTATAATCATATGATTATAAAAGATTTTATAATATAGAAGATATCGTTCATATAGAAAATTCTGTAATCAAATAATTAGAAAAAATGTTATACTATAGCATATATTCTACGTATAGAAAATTCTTCTGTAGCTATAGAAACATAAGTAACTAGTATTAAAAGTAAAATATGATTAAAATAAAATTGAAATTAAAATATATTGAAATAGACGTACAATACTGACAAGCAAGTACCAGATTCAGCTTCGACAGCAACAGCTCTATTCGGCGGAGTGAAGACAAATTACAACGTAGTCGGCGTGGATGCAAACGTAGCAATGAATAATTGTTCTGCAAGCTTGAATGCTGACTACCACGTGGACTCTATAATCTCGTGGGCGCAGGCGGCTGGCAAAGACACAGGTCAGCGATAACAAATGCCAAGATTGTAAACGATAAGTTGTCATATTAGGCTGTTGTCCAACTTTTCGTTCATATATAAATGCCACTAATATTATTAATGAATATGACGTTACTATGTAAGTCGATAAATCGCGCTTCTAATGTCGACAGTAGAATATTTTCATTAGTTTTTTAATGATCGGGCATTAGGGAAGGATTCTATAATACCAGATTTGGCACTCATAATTTTTATCTTTTTCAAGTGAAACAATTTGCGGAGGGAAAAGATTAAATAATTTTGAGATCGTAGGAATGCGATAAGTCGCTTCTTAATATATCTGGAGATTTTTCTATCCACGTGGATGGATATCATAAATCAAAATGCTAAGAATTTTGGAAAATATTTATTTCTTTATCGCGAAGAGTTTCTCGAATATGTATTGTGTTTTTGGATTAATTCAATCTTTTGGACGTTTAACGATTCTAAATTAAGAGTAAACTAATCTAAACTGTGATCTTTTACAGGATTCGTGACAACCACCAGGGTGACTCATGCGACTCCGGCACCCCTGTACGCGCACAGCGCGAGCAGAAAATGGGAGTGCGAGTCGACAATGCCGAAAACCGCCGAAAAGTGCAAAGACATCGCCAGACAACTCGTGGAGGATCAGCCAGGGAAAAATATCAAGGCAAACTATAATATATCGCGATTGTTCAGTAAAATGTTTCACTTCAATTTAAGAGATTGTTAAGTATATTCTTCGTTGTTTCCTTCAGTACAGTTGCTTGAAACGTTCGACAGCGACAAATGAAGATTACGACGAGAAATTTTAATTAGAAGTGTATTTGGTTTAGGTAATCATGGGAGGAGGTAGACAAATGTTGAAATCCAATGTCACAGGCACTGAATTCGATCCTATAGACAATTGGGCTGGCCAAAGAAACGATGGTAGAGATTTAATAGAGGAATGGAAGCGGGACAAAGCTGCTAGAAATCTTTCCTTCAAGATCGTTCAAAATAACGAAGAATTGTTTCGCGTGGATACTGATAAAGTTGATTATTTGTTGGGTGTTTTTGCAAATGGCCACATCAGTATGGATTGGAATAGAGAAAAAGGTCCCAAAGGACAGCCAAGTCTTGAAGAGATGACCGTGACTGCCTTGAAGATCTTACAAAAGTCAAAACATGGCTATCTTCTTATGGTCTAGTTCTTATCTTCTTTATATTTATTAGACTAAAGAAAAGTATGTCGTTTTGAATAGATATATTAAATGGTAATTTTTAGGTCGAGGGCGGGCTCATTGATTATGCTCATCATCGTGGCCACGCTGCACAGGCGTTGCTAGAAACTGTTAGGTTCTCAGACGCAATTAATAAGACCTTGGGTATGGTTGACACTCGAGACACTCTTATTATTGTGACCAGCGATCATACTCATTCTATGAGTTTTAATGGCTACAGCAATAGGGGCTCGCACATTCTAGGTATTTCTGATAAATCCTGTTGCGTTTCTTAAACCATTTCCGACTCAATTTTATCTCCTTTATTGTTAAGAGATCCATTAAATTTCTAGGAAAAACGAAAGAATCGTTGTTTATATTCATGAATCTTTATTTCATTTCTGTGGCAAAGTATTTTTTAAGATATTACGAATCGTTTTGTTTGTTAAAACTAATTAAACTTTGCTACTGAAATGCATTGTAAAACTTTAATGTTAAATACATTTCAAATGAGATTTTAATATGAATTAATAATTCATTCGTCTTACAGGTATATCTCAGAAGTCCAAGCACGATGGAATTCCATATACAACGCTGACGTACAGTACAGGGGGGCCGAATAACATAGCGTACACGCTCAAGAATGGTTCCGCCGTCAGGTTGGATCCTTCCGAAGAAAATACAACCGCGTATACGTACAGTCAACAGGCAACTATCATATCTGACGAAGCTTACCACGGAGGCGGTGATGTCGCTGTCTATGCAATAGGTATAACGCGTCGATGATTTATATATTACGTATAAAAAAAGTAACGCGATAATTAGTAAATTAATCGACAAAATTTGTCATTTAGGACCGTTTGCACATTTGTTTCATAGCGTGCACGAACAAAGTTACGTCGCCCGTGTGATTGCACACGCTGCTGATATGCAGCCGAAAGCATATGGGAGCGCTGGAAAGCAATACAATAGTCTGGTTGACGTTTCCATGTACATTTGCTTCTTCCTCTTACTTTTACTTCATTGACGATAAAAATAGATTAAACCGCAAATGCGTACAATCTTAAAAAAAAGAAAAGTACAACGTCTTATGTAAGATGTAATGTATATTTAAAAAAAAAAGATCAAAGTTACATGTCTCCTTATCGTACTTAAGTAAGTAGGATAGCGAATGGCCGCGAAAAATACACTTGGATCCACTTGATCACAGATTACCCTAACTCGTTTTAGTGGACACATCAAGTCATTTTGACGAGCGACAGCTAATATAACCTTACGATATAGAATAAATCATTTTTTTCTCGCATTATGTATACATATATAACATAGTATATTTTAATATATATCTTCTCCTCTTTTATATACAAGTTAAAACGATTTTCAGTCTTCTGCCGTAGAGGATAAGGTGAACCGCGATACATTATCCAGGTAACTCGTAAATTGCATTTCATTTACATGTGTACATAGCGTTCATATGGCGCCTATGAAATGCTAAGTAATTCTCGGAAGTTGGAATTCGAGAAAACGAAAAGAAGTTAAAAAAAAAAAGAGAAATAAAAGGAAGAATAAAGATTATGCGTAGATAAAAGCAATACATATGTTGTACGAACTTCTTCAAAAAAAGACCGTATTCGTAATCTGAAGCACGTGGTTACAAACTGTCTATCCTCTAAAGTTGCAACTACGTTACTTACGCGTACGATTACATGTATCAGTCCGATAATAACGAAATGTAAAAAAAAAAAAAAAAAACATGGAACTTGCGAACCAATCGACTCGAAATTCTAGACTAACTAGAAAGCCATCGATGGGCAACTAACATACATATGTATATTATAGAAAGAGAGAAAGGAAGAAAAAGAGAGAGAAAGAGAGAGTGAGAAAGGCAGAGTATGAGGGAATAAAAAAAAGGGTATGAACAAGCATGGACAAACTAGTTTCATGCGATATACAGAAGTAATATGTAAGCTCTATCTGGCATCGCGTCGTTTAAGTAATCAAATGCGACAATGGGGAATTGTAAAAGAGACTCTCAATACTCTCTGGTCTATTATCTGATAAACAGTCTGATCGCAGAGTGATGGCAACGACAACCGGAACATGATCATTGCATTTTGATTTTCACACTTTTACGGCTCTCCTCGGCGCTCTCGTGGAAGAGAATCTTGAGCGAGATGCATCCGAGGAACAACAGGGCGAAGAACAGAAAAATGAAACCGGGCGTGTATTTTTCGAAGACCATCGCACTGGCCAGCCCGATCAGTTGGAAAACCAACAGCAGAGGGGCGAAGTATACAGCTAGGGTCAAGAACAGGCAGCTATCTTGTTTTCGTTTCTGTAGCCTGGTCATTCGGAATCGTGGCGTCAACTTGCAAAATTCGACGCTCTTTGGTGGCTCCGCTACTTCAAACTCCTTCGAACGAATACCGCGTAGCAGCGACTGTCGGAAACTCCTGCATAGGAAGAAGATCCTCGCGGTGATGAGCTGAAGGAACTGACCAAGGCAATGGTGCACCTTTCGTGCAACTGGATGCGATTTCGAGTTACCGAAGGAGTAGAGCAGATATGGAAAGAGATTTAAGTTTTGGCAGCAATGGCGAATCTTCTGCATTGAGGCATGGCGAAACAGCATCGGTGGTCCACTGTTACTTCCATCTGTTGAGAATAAAAACAATATATAAGCTCACACAGGCTCTATTAACAAACTAACAATGATATTATCGGAAACGATGCGATACGATCGTGCCTTGCAATTTCAAAGCGATTAATCTTAAAATTGTTAATTAATATAACTTAACCAGGTTCCCTTACCTTTCAGCATATTGGACATACGTCGTACCAGAGTTGGCTTGCCGACGGCGTCTTCCGTCTCTATCATTCCTGACACTTTGGTCATTTCGCTTATCACAATGGTAGAAACAACAACCGTAAATTACTCCAGATATCCTTCCTTCAACTCTCCGATGATTCGATCAGACTGTTGTTCGCACTATTTGTTAATTTTCTCTGTAAAATGGCAATTACAACATTATTATCTTTCATGGTTCGACGTGAGCCGAATTTTTGTTAGTATTTAAAACCGAGAATCTCGTGTCGCGAATGAAAACTTTGATGGTCTCGGACGCAAGTTCTACCTCTTTTCCTCTGGAACCTCTGCTCGGGACGAGAATCGCGAAGGAACTCTTCGATCTGCACTGAACAGACCTTCGACTTTACCAAAGCCGAGTGGCAAAAAGAGACAAGTGCCACGTTTCGATAGCCCTTGCGACCCGAGATTAAAGCTCGAGCTGCTTTTTCAACGAATATCTCGACTAATATCTCCACCAATCAAATCGTTTATTTTAACCCATTAAGGGCCAATACTACATTAACGTGATATTACATTTACAACTATTTTTAATCAATTACTGAATTCTGTTTTCCAACGTCGTAGTTATGAAAGGGAGTTGCAAGAATTTGCTGAATACTTTCGCCATCGCTATTTCTTCCATTTCTAATTAGATTCTATAATTAAAAGAACTGCTGCAATAAAGAGACGCTTCCACTTTCCAGTAATATAAGTAAACCAAGACAAAACTCAAATAAAAATCAAATGACTTTTTCAAACATGCTATAAGAAATATTGACAATAATAAACTCTTGCACTTTTGAATATAAAACTTATACCTTTCTTTCTCTTCTAGCAAGTACAATTTAGATATTGGAGCAAATTGTTCAGTTTTCTATTTCTTAAAAAACCTGAAGTACTCACAAACTCAAGAGCGCGGTAGCCTATTAATAGCCAAGCAACATATATATTATGTACTTTATCATAATAACGTTATAGGTAGTTCAATTTCTTTGATATTCCGCAAAATTGCGGAATCTAGGTGACGAAGTAGTAGTGAAAAAAATATTCAGTGAATCCTCGGAAACTTTCATTCATCCACAACGTTAAGAAAAACAATTCGACAACGAAAAAGAAAAAATGAACTTTGGCGTTAAACAACTTCGACCCTTAAGGCGCATTTAGGCGATTGTCAATATTATTTCGATATTTAAAATTCAAAGATTCTACATTGTACTGCCTATATATATTGACCATTTAGAGAACCACCTGTTATGTACGATAATGTTGAAAACCTAAATATTGACAATAATATCGATCGTCCGAATGCTCCTTAAATCGGCTAAGATCGTACTTTCCAGACGAAATTCCAAGATTCTCATTTGTCGATGGGCGCAGGACTAAAGAAATATTACGGAACGATTCACTGTTTTGCAACGACACAAACTTTATGACACACTCGCCGATCGGTTGACTGATCATAATATACCTCTCCTGCATCACTCCCGCGCGCCCCTTATCACGGTAAATTGGCCGTGTTTGTAGGTATATAGAGTCAGTGAACGCGAATCTCAAGGGTACTGCGAACGTGCGTTCCGTCGTGTGCAAATTTCTCAAAGCTGACGCATAAACCCCCTCGATTTGTATAAATGTCCGCGTAGCCGATTACCCTATCGAACACGGGCTGAACGAATCGATACGTCGATAACAATCGTCACTGTGAGCTTATGGTAATAGAAACTCGAGGAACGCAATGTATTATACATTAGTGAGTGATAATACGAAGCTTCTCGATAATTCTCTTTCCCATGGATACATACATGAGGTTGATTAGCGCGACAAGGTAAACAAGAGGGATAAAAAACTCGTTGACTAGCCCTTGACGATGTACGCTATGGTTACCTAGATAATTGTATCTAGAGAGGAAACGATGCGTGATTGTGATCGACCATGAGGCCAATTGACCACGCTTGAATTATCGAACGGTGGGGAATAATGAATTAAACGAATATTCTCCTGGAAAGTTCTGCGACTTTATTGACTCACCTCGGGGATCGTTGGCAATATTTAGACGAACGTTGAGTTAGTAGAACTTCGTGGAGCGTTATCGGTGTCCATATAACCCACTCACAATTTTCCTCCAGCGGTTTCTTCGTCCTTTCCTCGTCGAACGTTTAACTATATTTCTTGTAAAGATTAAAAACGAGCGGATATTCACGGAATATGCCCATCCTTCGTTGCCTCAGCGACTATATCCCTCGACAGATCAATAAAGTCGCATGCTTCCTCTGTCGAGAGTTAGAGAACAACTAAATCCGGTCGGAGCACGGCTCATCACTTCGTACGAACACGACAAAACACAAACAACGACTATGATCAGGCGGAGCGGGGCGCATCGTTGAAGCTAGCACGAGCAGCGACCTCACGTTTCCTTCGAGCAACCGTACCGCAGCCTAACAGCTGATTGGTCGTTCACTTCAGTTCCGAAAGTGACCCAACCAATTGGCTGGCATCTTAAAAGAATCTACGCCAGAGCATATGTGGAGTAACAAAGGAGCCGTTTAAATGTAAACGCGAGATCAGTCACGTAGTTACATCATGAGGCTTCCACATGATCTTTCGAAATGTTCTGGCCCTTTGGATGACCTCCATAGAACGTCACTAATAACTTTCGTTGCTGTGTCAAGGTGAGAGATTGGGAACAGATTTACTGATGCGTCCGATTGCTGTATTGACATATTATACAGTGTGATTCCCTCGTTAGATGCTTCAAAAGGAGAAGCCGGTGTTAGCTCGTCGCTAGACGCCGAGCAAATTCATATTTTTATGGACACGAATAAAAAGATGGATCGATGACAGATAGTACAAAGAATACTTTGCCTAATATTTACCTAACACTTTGTATGTTTCGCACATTATGTAAATTCTGCATAAGTTCATTTAAGTTTCACATAAATGCATGAGTATTTACGGTCTGTTTATCGTCATACAGTAGCTACAGAAAGTATTTGTACGTACTCTTTCATTTTTCAATTAAATGTTCCTTAACCCCTTAACCTACAACTACGGGCATAGCCCGTAGTACGATGATCGGACCAAACGTAAATATTACGGGCATAACCCGTAGTAGATAATCGGACCAAACGTAAATATTACGGGCATAGCCCGTAGTACGTACTACACAAGTCGTGCGAATGGCTTGAAGGCTGCGCGAGTTTGTTTACATTTTCGGCCCAAAATTCTCAAACGTAAATCGTAGGTTAAGGGTGGGGGGGCTAAGGTTAATTCGTACAAAAATAAGGCATGTTTTTGTGAATTATTTGTGACGACACAGTTAAAATCTCTTTATTAAAACCAATAGTACATTAAAGTATGACATTCGAAGAATATTGTGTAAAATTTTCACGGAGAAATATTACAAAAATACGGCAATGGCAGCAATTATTCGGACGTGTCTCGGAAAAAAGGTAGAACACAGACGTTAACTCTTTTAATGTCGAAATAACAACAAACAATAGCTCCTTGTTTGGGACTTCTAAGGGAATATTAGATATGACCTGCAGCTCGTTCTATTGGGGATAGTGAAGTTTACCTGGTCCTTCTTAAAAAAATATTTAAAGAAAGACGAAGCTTAAAGGATATGGATTTATTATAGTTTAAGTATAGTACAGACTTATTTAGTGATGAAGTTATTACTTCGGTGGTAGGAAAATTTGTGAATTATATCGAATAAAGGTTAACTATTTCACGGAGTTGTAAACGTGATTCGAATATGGTAATGGCATGTGATCGTGACGAATACGAGACAGCCTAGCACGTGTCCTCGTGAGTGAAAGCCATGGGTCGCCTTGTGGCTTACAAAATTCGTAATTATAATTATGTATCAGAGTTTTGACCCGGTATAAAGTCCACCACAAGTGTGCTTATTAAAGTATTGGAATTGAATGTGCCATATGGCATTGACTCGTATCAATGTCATTTGCCATCCAAATGTATCACCGTTATCTATGTTGTCTCCAATTTCTTTTCTCATTAAAAAGCTCCGTCGTTAGGAAAAAACACGAAATCCATCGAATTTCTTCGATTCCTTTCCTGGGGAAGCTTAATACTTGAATGACATTTCTCAAGGAAGCTTCTCGAGTAAGCCTTTCAAGTATAATGCATACCTCTAAAGTACAACTTTCTTCGCAACTCGTAAAACTAATAAATTTTCCAACTACTATGTAGAAACACAAACTCGATGAAGCGGAGTCAGTTACCTTCTTACTCTATTTCCTATCTTCTACATTTTATGTTTCTATCTTATTCTACTTCTTTTCCTATTGCAATATCGTTTATTATAGTATCAACATATATCAACATCATAGTTGAAAATTTGACTGAAAAACGTAAACAATTATCATTAACATAGAGTAAAGTTAGGCTTATAATACGATTTAACAAATTCAGCATTAAGTATCATATAAATTTATATCATAACGTAAAGTTAAGCCTGTATTATAAATTAAATAACGCCAGAGGTAATAAATCGTCTGAATGACGAAAGGGAGCACATCACAAAAACGGTTTGCAGATAGACAAATCCGATTAAAACAGTTATTTTGACTGTACAAAGTTCGGTGTGTTTCCAACTTGAAAAAAGTATGGCTTCTAAGACAGTGTGCGAAGATATGAAAATCGAGCATGTGCAGATATCTCGAGAAGCAATCAGCTGATTGATTACAGTGTATATAAACAAGAGATCGGCTAAGGTAGAACGCTGTTGGAGCGGCCATTAAACCCAAGTGAGCAATAATAGGATCGTAATTATGGCAATAGGTTGACATGGGCGAAACGGTATAACACGAAGCAAGTGTAAGAAATTTGCGCTGCACACTTTCAATTGTTGCGATACGATTTTTAATATAGGGAGGTCATATTACGTAACCATACTCTAATATAAATCAAGCCAAACATTTATAAAATAATAAAAGAGTGGTAACGTCAGAGAATACTTAAACTATACTGAAAGAAGCTTCTCAATTTAATGTGCGTACTTTATGCATAAATCAAAAAACTAATGGACTTGATACTGATTCAATTATCGAGTATATTAGCAAGTCATTATTTTGCCAATCGTCGGTTATCAGAGACACAGTTTTTTTCGAAGAGGTATGTTAGCTCTTGACTACGAAAAATTGTGTCGTTGACGCCGATAAACGCTAACGTTATGTAACAATTCATTGATCTCTGGCTTAGTAGCAGTGTAAAGCGAGGTAGAAGAGACGGTAAAATCACATGGGCGGTTATTATAGAAGTGTAGACAGCGAAGCATCCGCTCACGATGCGTATCCAGTTTTCACGCTCTATTCGCGTGATTATAGTAGGAAAGTGGAGGCGGAATACTTCATACATAGTGAGGTTGTAAAAAATCGGTTAGTAGACCGATATATAGAGTGGCCGTAAAAATTATATATAATACTCTTATCTTCCAGTTAAACGATTTTCTTTGTCAGCTTCTATATATTTCAATTTTATAGTATTAAATTTTTTAATTATATAAAAATTTCAAATGGTATGAAATTTAATATACTTGGATCCAATTAATTAGTATGTAAGTGCTGCAATAAATACAATGGTATATTCATACTTTCCATAAATATTTTTTCATAAATATTTGGTGGAAAAGATATAATAAGGTTATAAATCAATTAGTCGGTAGACGCGCTTAACGTTGTACGAATCTGGTAAAAGGATTTTGGATGTAAGGTTATAAAGTATGAGAAAAATAGTTGACAGATGTTTTGAATGAGGTTCCTACCTGCTTAATGTTCTTACATGTCTTAAATTATTGTTTCAGCCCTATTTTAACGTCAATAGCTGAATAATCTTATACTATAGATAATATAATCTATATACTATAATCTTATAATACTATATACTAATAACGTTATATTATAGGTACTTGACTGCACCTTTTTCACTTAATAGTTTGGGATATTTTAGTTATTTGTAGTTTGGGATATAAGAACATACTTAGAGCATCATTATAGACTGTTCGATGTCAACTTGAAAGCAGTTCTTCCTCTGTAGTATATTAAAAAAAAAAACTCTCTTCTTGAGAAAAGGAATAATTGTGACTCGTTTAGCATTTTTATCCTGGAAATACCGATTATATGACACATCATTGGACTCTTGACGATGATAGGAATTGAGAAACTAAAATCGTACAACATTTCAGACTATTTACTGTATCACTCATATTGAATAATTTCCAGAATATAAAATTAAATGTATCAGAATCTTTTATGAGATCGTACAACATTTCAGACTATTTACTGTATCACTCATATTGAATAATTCCCAGAATATAAAATTAAATGTATCAGAATCTTTTTTGAGATTATATAGTAATCACTAGAAAAACAGAACAAATTATTTACTTAACCCATTTACATGAAAACATATATAAATATAATTTTCTCTAGGTTGTACATAAAAATTACAATCTTTGAATTTGGCTTTTTTAAAGGAATGGGAATTGACTTATTAGGTACACAATCTAATATTTTACGACCTCGCTACGTATATTTCTTCCATTTCGATACACGGGTGTACTCGAGTAGGATACTTGAAAAAAATCCTACGGAAGTCCGCTAATTTTCTAATTTCCTATCGAGTAATCGCATTTATGTATGGACGTTGGCCCATGTAACGATGAGAGGTTCCGGCGAAACTTGGACTCCATTTATCTACACTTTTTTCTAGCGTATCTTCCTATCAAGAAACGTGGGTGAGCGAAAAATTAGACGCCAATAACCCCAGTCAACGATTCTCGAAACTAGTGGGCGATTCGACGATAGATAATCTTTCGTTAAATTGTGGTCGTTCTGATTTGCATTCGTAATACTTCATTCGCTTGTTATTCAAGCGCATCGGATATTTAATATACAGCGATCAAACGATGTATATATAAGAATCATAAAAAACCTTGATGATGACTAGGTTGATTCTCACGAAATAAATTCTCTACGCGCATGTAGCCGTGATGTAAAGAGGTCTTTGGAACTTTGCTATTGGCTATGTAAATATGTACCTATTTTTGCAAGCGATTGTGAAATTTGATATTTATGCAAAACAGCAATGAAATAGGCAGATATGTATCTTAGAATTTTAAGTCTAGTTCTCATTGATTATATATTTTGTAGTTTTATTTTCTAATGCAAATTATGTACTTGAAAACGGCAAAGTAAATGACGATATTCGTCTCGGTATTACAAATTACTTCAGTTTAAATTATGAAATTCTCTATTTAGATATCTATTAAGCAATGACGAGCAAGAAGTTCTGATGAGTCTCTCGAACTTTGCAATCGATGAATGTCAAGAAATCGCCATTCAAATGATATAAAGTAAATTGCAATATGTTACTCGCTATTAATCATTAGTTATAAAAGTAGCAATTTGTTCACGAAATTTTGCATATAACTTTCAGATTACGGTGATCAAAAAGAGACATTCCCTGAAATTTTGTAAACAGTAAAAAATGAAAGTAATCTTTAATATTCGTTTTATTACGAAGGATTATTTAAAACAGATCAATTTTTATATTCTTTTTGAGTAATGCATCTAATGAAGTCGTAAATAAAAAAAAGATAAATTTCAGATTTTAAAGGCTATTTCTGAATTGATATTTACAATCTGTACTTGTAATCTTCCATGAAGATCATACTATTTCAACTCCTTATCAATTTCTACTTTAAGTATATTAATAATACTACTATAGTTAATTGATAAAAATATTCCTCCAGCTACAAAATAAATTTATAGCTCTGAGTGAGTCGATACTTTACGTTCTTGTCGAAACTCGAGCACCTTATCTCGGTAATTGAAATTCCTGTTTCGGCGACCAAAACTCGTGTTCTTTCAAATCTGATTAAGTTTGCAACCTCGCTATATCCTTTAGCATGTATTTAGTATATACCAAGCGTATATACATGCATGCATATCTTGAATGGCCGGGAAATTCTCGAGAATTCTGAATCGATAAATGTCAGGAACTTTATTATTAAAAATTATTAGTAAGAAGTACCAAATTTTGCCAGTGAAATTTTGCAAATGATTCTCGGACAACGTCTTCTATCTTATAGTAACATTACATAACAATATAATGATCAAATATGATCCTTCTTTTAAATTTTCTAATCGATACGTATGAAGGAGTCAGCATTTAAATTTAATATATTAGGTTAAAAATGATTGAAAGGTAACAATCATGCGGCTGATTACGTTCATATGTAGTCAACGCCAACTACGTGAGGCTCTTCCAGGAATTTCGTAATCAGTAGCAATTAAAGAGTCGTCACATAAAAGCATAGTAACTTAGAATATTCTATTCATCGCTCAAAATCAATTAAATTCATTATGCGATGTTGTCGCCCTTTTCCTATACATATTCCTATACCTAATCAATGTCGAGGACAACAGGTTCAGCCCTAATATTTTGTAATCAATTTAGATGTCAATGAATGGATAGTCGCTGCGTTAGCATCCAAGGGCAAAGATCAGCGAGAGAGTTTCACAGATTTAGGTCGTGTAGCGCTAGACAAAATAATAAATATATACGTAGATTATGTAATTGCACAAGAGACGCTGTCTGCCTTATTTCGGTTTTTTGAGTGGGGTAGTATGTATGTACATTCCACGAGGTAAACACATTGATCAGATAACGAGCAATAACACTTTTAAACAGTATTGTTTCTATCGTATTACCTTGATAACATCCGAAATAAACCTGATTACACATACAAACCAAAGAATGCCGACCGGATATTAGTCATCTCTGTAGAAGCTATATGTAGTATGTGTGCAAATTTGCAGGTGCTCCCTCCTTCTTCTTATTTTGGTTTGTTTCGATTATTGCAATGTATTATTTCACGTATTTCGTTGAGTTTTTTTTTTTGTTAAATACACAAATAATTGTGACAAAAGAAGAAAAGGAATATTGAACTGTTGTTACTTTTTTTATTGTTTTTCTTTCTTTTGAGGCGATGAAAGCAACAAGAGTGGAAACATCGAATGGAATTTGTGGAATTTTTATGAATGCTCTATCGAAATTTCAATTCTGTCTGTAATATTCGTTTTGAAAGATAATTCGTTAGATAGAGAATAAATTAAGACAAAAGAGGAAAGAAGATATTCATTCAGTTTTGAGCGCAAAATTTCATTTTGTTGCTCTTTCTAAACATTGAAAATGGAGTAGATATTTTAGAATTTTTACAGATTCTTTACGATTGGTGATTTGAAGGAATCTCAAATTTTGTTTTCGATATCTATTTATTCTTGGAAAATAAGTCGCAAGATAAAAAGCAAGTTGAAACAAATGAAGGAAGAACACAGTGAATTTAAGAAAACTCAAAAGTGAAACAGAATTTTTATGAATTCGTGACATTTAACCATTTGAAGGGATTTTGAACTCTGTCTCGTTCTGAAGCGATAACTCGGTATTAATAACATATCGTTGTGGTCTTATTGTCGCGACAATTATGCTTTTTATATTAGGTGCTATATTATGGTAACCTCGAGCGCATATGTTACTATAATCGCGATTTTTTTCCATCACAGTTCAGTCGTATTACGTAAAAATTAGATATGCAAATTAATACTCCTTAATCACGTCTGTTATTATGTATTAACTCAATGTTTTCTATTATCAAGTCATTCTTTTTCTGTTTCGTTCTATTCTTAATTTTTGTAGCTCAAAACAACAGCGAAAGTTACGATTGTATTATTACTGGTAATCGAGTAACTAAATTAAATATCCCACTTTAAAATGAATAAAAATTACATATAATCTACCAATTTCGAAATCTCGACAATTGCAACGATAATTGCAGTCGTTCATAGGTTAAAGTGATTAACACGACTTGTGAAATTTTTGAAATTTTAGTGCCAAATTATTTGATTGACGCTTCTCTTATATAATTCTATCAATTTTCTCTATTTTTTGCTTTGTGGAATTAGTCAACTTAGCAGATAAGCGCCCTAATTAGAGCTTAAAATTTCTCGCTTCCCCAGATATAGAAACGCGTTTTCGCAGGATCGGTATTATCTGCAGATCGTTATTTTTCCAAGCAATCGCTGATAAGGCGCGATAAGCAGCGATTGTTTGTCTTCTCCGTGCTTCTGCACTGACATTTAGGGAAATTTTCGCGTTTTTACTTTTCCCCCTCTTGTCTTACGCGAACGTTCGTATCAAATTCGCATTGAATTCGCGTGGTTTTTGCGCGGAACTTCGCATGCTCGATATGTATCGTCGCGGAGGACAAATCGCAGAAGGTGAAATTGCGTAAACCAGTGACCGGAAAAAATTGTTCTGCGATTGTTCGCGAAACTTTGTCGATCAGTCACGAAATGTTTATTTTTATTTAATCTAAGAAGAATTCGATTGATAAAAGAGAGACGTACAGTTGTTCGATTCGTCTTTGTTCGTTCTAGAAGACAGTCGTTGCTTTTCTTTTTAAATAGAACAATTCGTCGCGGTTACGTCATTTTTCTTTGGCACGTGTATCGAGCCGATATACAAAGTGCCTCTTTACTTCACCTTATCCTCTGATTAACAGTTTCTTTGTGTTAGCATTTACCCATAATGGTTTCCTAAGTATTTATGTAAGCTGTGTAAAATTAAAAAGTTAGAAATAAGAAACATAATACATTTATAGCTTTCTAAATAATTCATTGCAAATATATTACAAAATACACAAATACCTGAAGGAGATGAAAGGACATCAGGACTTCCCGTCTGGAATATTGGGAAAATCCCTATACCCCAGTCCAGACTTTTACTATAGCTACACTTAAATAATAAAAAAAAAAAAGAAATAGTTTTAATGTTCCAATCCGATTTTATGACAATGGGTTTGGGCTCGAAGTGACATAGCGAGTCACTGGACGTAGCCACGGTCATGGGAGACCTGACAGAGGTATGGAATGATTATATGGCTCTCCTTAAAAACAAAGATTAACCCGAGAGGTGGGGAGAGGAATATATAAGGGCAGTTCCACTTGGATTTTTTTTTTTTGGAGTTCATGCAGATAAGTTTTACTTGTACGTGGAGTTATACGTGTATCACATCGCACGGTCATCCCGTGGACCGTGGATTCGTTATCGAACCTGAATTCGTTGTCATCAACATCTCAACCATCCTATCGCCGTTATTACTTATAGCCTCTTGTAGTGTCCACATTTGTACCAACAAACATTTGTACCAATAAACATGTATCCGCGATGGTAAATTGAGCGAAGGTTCATCGAACGCCCAAAATTCCAACCTTAATCCGACATATCTATCTGAATAAATGGAAGATCGAGTTTTATCTGCAACTATCTAAAAGATGGCACGTACAGGGCTTCCTACAGACACACTTTTCAACTACATTGATGCGTAAGTTTTCTTTTCCCCCTGAAAGACTTCTTTTTTTAACGCTTACAGTATTTTTTACAAGCATTCGTTTCATTTGCCATAAATATCCTCAAGTTCAATGAATTTTACAGCCGACTGGCACTGCCGATTACCAGATCTCTTATCCTTTTACCACGAGGAAGTTGCCGCGGGTGGAGATTGGTAGAGAATTTTACCACAAGTTACCGGCCACTAACGAAGTTCGCCAAGCGGACATTTAAATTAGTTATATCGTTTCGTCTCTATCTGGATGTGGTTTCTTTCTCGGCAGTGTCGCCTCTTGTTTTATCTCTACTTCTCGACAAGACCTCAATACCTTATAATCTCAACAAAGTCTACTCCTCGTTTCAAGCTTGTAATCCTCGAAAATTAAAAGTACAAGTGCACTATATCGATTCTTGTATCCAGAAAACAAGACCCACTGAACTTCTCCTACCTGATATTCTATCTGGAAATATCTTTCAGGTCGACGTGTTTTACAGAACAAATAAAGGAAGGAACTTCTGGGTAATAGTTTTTCCGTACATACACCGGGGATCATTAGCTGTTCGCGGTCAACGTCTCTGGTCTCCCCTCGCACTCGGTTTCAAAGCCGCAGAAACTCGTCTATTCCCGTGTCGACGATTTTCCACGGTTCTGGTGTGCTTTTTCGTCCCTATATGTGTCGACGGGTCGATGAACGGCACACGGATACGGCCCTGGCCAGCCCGCAAACAGCATTTTTCCACGGCGACTCGGTTTACGCTCGCGGTTAAAAAGAATCCGCTCCGTGTTGGTCGCGCGTCGCCACCCAAGTACCAACAGAAGAAATAGCAGAGACTAAAGACGGGCAGAACGAGCAAGGGAGCCGCTATAGCGGGCAAAAATCAAGAGATACCGAGCCAAGTTCCGGGAAACGGTTATATCGTATCGATCGTGTAAGTTAATCGCGTGGATTCGATATTTCATGGCGGAAAAATTCTTCTGAGTTTAATATGTATATCTTCCTACTTCTTCTTTTATCAGAAAGTAGAAGATGATGAGAAAGCACACGTAATAACCGCGAATGCGTTAATATTCTCTAACGTCGTTTAAAATGGATGGAAGATGGAAAATTTCAGTCGGAGCTGTCCGTCGTGTATTTTAAGAAATAAAAATTACTTTAAACAAGGTTTCTCTTTGTTTAAAGAATTGAAGCGACGAAAGACGCATGGTAGATGCAAGTGTGTGAATATTTTACAGGATTAAAAATGCAAATATAAATCGATAACATGTATTTGATACTGTATAGAACAAAGATTGTTTTAGATTTCTCTGATTCTCTTTATTCATTTTTTTTTCTTTTCTTTAGTCGGAGGTAGCGGATATATAATAACTGAGAGTGCGTGAGCAATTTCTGTATAATATATAGAATTGCAGCGACAAGGACACACGCGAATTAATCGCATATGTTGAATATTTCAAGAAGAAAAGATTAGTCAAGTATTATGCAGTCTTCTCGTATCAAAGAATCAAAAATGTGATTGTAAGATACAAGTATAGTATAGACATTTTCTATGATTAAAAATACTATCTCGAAGGAAGATTGAATATTTCATCGAGTTAAAATTCTTCCAACTTTGTTTGGTTTTCGTTTTACTTTCAGGACACCTTAGCTGATAACGAGGAACGTGTCGTAACTAGAAACGTGCAAATATCCTCTGCGATAAAAATCGTCAGTAAGTTGTAGGAATTACATATTTTAAACAGCAGAGATTATTGTAAGTTTATTTGGTCCTTATCTTTCCAGAAAATCGAGTATGTCATAATTGAAGACATGAGAATATTTTTTACGATTACACGTTATTTGCGTAAAATCGAATATTTAAAAAAAAAACACAGCTATCACTGTGTAAATTTATCTGCATTTTTTCAGAGAACCACAACTTGATGGCAAGGAACGTGTGATAACAACAGACGCTGAAACATGTCCCATGATGAAAAATGTAAGTTAATCAAGCGAATTCGATATCTTAAGATTACACAAAACTCATTAAGCTTATCTGGTTTTCCTTTTTTACAGAGGGTAGTTGACGATGATAACGAAAGACGCATGGTAATCATTTTTGTACAATTAAATCCGCAAAGATCGCCGGTTACAGTCAATAGCATAGATATTTTTTGGCATAAAATTAACTAGTTTACAGATACTTGTTCGTTTGTTCGAACTTGTTTATCCTCATCTAATTTGCATTTTGTGATAAGGAATCACTGGATGTATTTTATTCTTTGCAGCTTTTTCTCGAGTACAAGTCTCGAGTCAGCTGATTGGCAGAATCGCTAATTATTCTTTAAAATAGACGAGGATCTTTGGAATTCCGATTAATCCATGACCTCGGTTACCAGAAACGAGCTTCGACGTGCTACAATAAACTTCAATATTAGAACTACCAGAATTATGAAAATGTCCAATCGATAGTTTTTCATAGGAATTTTATAAATATACAGCGGTAAATTTTTGAGAATTTTATACGAGATATTGACTTATCTATATCTTACATATCTTTTCAAAATGTTATACCTTTAAAAAGATACGTATTTAGGGATTTTTTGCGACGTTTTATAAAATCTGCAGATGAAATGTTATTCTTCATTTTACATTATAATATCTCTCTACATATACTTCTCATTTTAATTCTTTTACACTGTCAGTCATAAGTATTAGGACATGCTTTTAGTACAAATTGAATATATTTCACTCTTTTCATTTTGTGGTTCATTTTTTTTTTTTTTTTTTATTATAAATTTGTCATTTCATTCGCGTCATACGACGAATTAAAAATCATAATGGTGTATATAAGATAAAATTTTCAGCACTGTAATTTACTTACACACACACCCTCGCATATATATGTATATCTTAACCTTGAAAAGTATCGTCACTCTAATTTCATAATTAATTAAGTTATAACTTTATTCTTCGTCGCAATACGTTTTCGTGACTTAGAAAAATACAATTAATTTTTACCAAATTTTAATTTATGAAAACTAACTTACGCTACTATGACCTTCAGAACTCCGTATGTGTCTTATGGCGAGTAACGTTAAATAAAGTAAAGTTTATTAAAGTATTGCGACAGTGAAACACTTATGGCAGCGTATTTTAATACTATCATCGGCATGATACAACGTACTATTCCCAATAGTTCTAGTGTTAGAGAAACTATAATCTTATATATTTATTATTGTATATGTTTTATTTAACTCTATATATTTTTTTTTCTCTAGATAAAGTATTAAAAAATTTTATATCTTTCTATCTATATAGAATGTTTATTCCGCTGTTAATTTATTACCCTTCGATCTTGTTGCGTTGTATAATTTCTGCGCAATTACAAATTCGTTTAATTCCAGAAAAATGTGAAGAGCTGTGAAGAGCTGCCTCAGCAAGAATAAACGTATTGCTTATACATTCATATCATATAGTATATGATATTATACAATATTTGTATGAACATTGGATAAATATAAATAGTAATTACATAACTTGCAATTATTGCAACCGTTTAGATATAAAAAAAGAAAAGGAAATATATAGATGTAGATGCATTCAAAGTCGACATAGAACATGCGGAAATGTATATATAATATTATGCAATTGTGTATAAGATTAGGTGTTTTAAAAGAAACATATGAGATATCTGGACATATATTCATTTGATAATCAATGGCGCACATATTTAATATAATTTTGCAATAATTATCTCATATTCTGTTGCAATATTTATATGATAACTTGTATATCTTATGAATATCTCATGAATATATTGTGTTATATACAGGAAATTCTAGGAAATATGTAAATAGATTATGACCTTATAATTTAGCATAGTAATTTATTTCAAAACCGTTTGCTTCGTCATATTTAAACACATCGCATAAAATTCTAAATTTTAAACTTTGGATCGATCGTATCCTTCACCACTTCCATATTATCCTTACGTGTTCTGCAAGTTACCCAACGATATTTCCATTCTACATAAATCCTTTATTTAATGTGTGTAATTTTGTGTCTGCAGGATTTTATTCATAAGCCAGGATGAGGACAGTAAGAGTCATAAGGCAGCGAACAAGATTATTACTGGCTATAATAACTAGTGCGATTTGCTGTTCAGCGAACAATATGGAAAATAGAAAAATATTCCCTGTTCTTGAATTATTGCAGAAATTCTGATTGAATTAGAGAAGCAACGAAGAAAACATGAATTATTAATTTATAAAGATAATTGTTAGATGCTAAATCAAGATACCATAATCACAGTGATAGGACTATAAAGTATATATAATGCATGTGTATACATTATTAAAAGGTCTTAATAAACATTAAGCTATAGTTAATCAACTGTCCACCCGTTGCATTGCCAGTCCAGCGATCCTAGAGTAACCAAACGCAACGCTTAAACGAAAAGCAACGTTCAGAAGCTTTAAACCAACGTACAAAAACGAGAAACACGAAAAATAGTCCTAATCACAATTAAATTAAATTATAAGTACCGAAAGTTAATCTATCCCACTCCTCGTCTGCGGTTAACTTGTGCAGTGTCATCTAGTACATGGTGGTGGAACTGAAATTTTGGGCGATCACGCATAGATGGCAGAACGATGCAAATCCGAACACAGAAATCGAGCTCCTTGGTTTGAACGTGTGTTGGACAAACCATGTGCTGCCATCTATGCTTAAACGCCTCAAGTCTCAGTTCCTTTAGTATATAACAGATGGCAGAACGTGGTACGTCCGAACGCAGAAATCGAGCTTCTTGGTCCGAAACGTGTGCTGGACAAGCCACGTCCTGCCATCTATGCGTGAACGCCTCAAGTCTCAGTTCCTTTAGTACGTAACAGATGGCAGAACGTGGTACGTCCGAACGATGAAATCGAGCTTCTTGGTCCGAAACGTGTGTTGGACAAGCCACGTCCTGCCATCTATGCGTGAACGCCTCAAGTCTCAGTTCCTTTAGTACGTAACAGATGGCAGAACGTGGTACGTCCGAACGATGAAATCGAGCTTCTTGGTCCGAAACGTGTGTTGGACAAGCCACGTCCTGCCATCTATGCGTGAACGCCTCAAGTCTCAGTTCCTTTAGTACGTAACAGATGGCAGAACGTGGTACGTCCGAACGATGAAATCGAGCTTCTTGGTCCGAAACGTGTGTTGGACAAGCCACGTCCTGCCATCTATGCGTGAACGCCTCAAGTCTCAGTTCCTTTAGTACGTAACAGATGGCAGAACGTGGTACGTCCGAACGATGAAATCGAGCTTCTTGGTCCGAAACGTGTGTTGGACAAGCCACGTCCTGCCATCTATGCGTGAACGCCTCAAGTCTCAGTTCCTTTAGTACATAACAGATGGCAGAACGTGGTACGTCCGAACGATGAAATCGAGCTCCTTGGTCCGAAACGTGTGTTGGACAAGCCATGTCCTGCCATCTATGCGTGAATGCTTCAAGTTTCAGTTCCTTCATTATCTAATAGATGGCCAGACATGACTTGACCGCAGACAAGGAGGGCTACTGTGTGCGATAAGGACAAATGATACGAGTGGAGGAAGGAGAGGATACAGTGTACAACGAAGACAGACATCACGAGTGATGCTAATAAGAGAGGATATAGTGTGCGACAAAGACAGACGATGCAAGTGCCGGTAGAAAGAGGGACTCTCTTTCTTTTTCTCTCTACTATGCTAGTGTAAACATACAGGAAACATAAATTAATTCTACTTCAATTAGAACGAATAACGAGTTGTGAATGTGAAACTAGTTGTAGTGTAAAAAGTAATTCAAGTATTCTCCTATAATTAAACTACCATTAAATGCAAATTAACTACTATCATTAATAACTCGGATATCTGAATTTATGGCATTTTTCAAACTGATACTTTGTTCCTTCCGATATATAGTAATTACATTTTTATATTATACCTTATTTCTAATTTGTTATTCCACCTGCTAGGCTAAAAGAGTCATTTAAAATGCAAACTATGTTCCTAAGGCTTGCAGAATATACAAAAATTGTTTTATAATCATCATTTAATCCTAATTTCATCAAACTGTTAACCAAGTAATACAGGACACTTTGATACAATTAATTCTTTTATCCGCAAGTGCAACCCCTTCCTACAGCTCGTTTCATATCTGTTAAGAATAAATTACATTCTATTTACATTTGCAGCAAGTGAAATCGATTTAATCTCTAATCGATCAATTGATTTGTCTGTATTTATTAATTTGCAATTTATTGTACTTTAATTATTTCTTTGATTTTATTGTCTTCCTTTGCATTTTGCATAAGAAAACGTAGAAATTTTCGATCAAACCATCAAACGATTGGCAGGTCAAACATCGACAAATTTCAACAAATCTTCCAAAATCTCTTACTTTTATCTGTCCTTATGTCACCACCACCACGATTAACCGTCACATGTACAAGATTTTTCCAAAATAACGTCGCTGGAGTTATATCGGAAAGTCAAAAGACCTCTAAGAGTCGATGTTGCGCAGGAGAACTAGCGTTTGCTGCCAGTAGATCAATGAAAAGTTTGATTCACCGAGGGTATTCGCTCGTTTTTCGTCATCGCTATCGCTGCACGTGATCTGACCCTTCCCCTGGATCGATTAGACCCACCTCGCACGTGGCTGTCGTGTGTTTCAGTCTGCACACCAACTTGATCTTTATTTTTAGCAAAATGACAAAAAAGAATAGAATATTTGATTAATTGTTATTTATTATAAATTTTGTAAATTTTTCTAGCATTTTATATGAATTTTGCAGATGCGCTTTCGGCATTTGAGAATGGGGAAGATTTTGTAGTCGTCGTAAATGGAGGGTTTAAAGAAGAGATCAGTAGCCTTCGATCAATCATTCGGAGTCAAGATAGCGAAATATTAAAGGCAACACGCTGTTGTATTTTTTATGTTTGCTTTTCAGATAGAGTAATTGGATATTGACTCGCTTAAATTTAATTTACACCGAAGAAAATAGCATTTAAATAAAATTACAGAAGTACGTAAATAAAATTGTAGAATTCTGGTCAAATAATACTCCCTTAATTTCCTTTTCTACGTTTTATCACCGATTACTGATATTATCGATATTACTAATTCTCTATCTACATTAACAATAAAATAATATTATAAATTCGATATTTTCATAAAATTGCTTGTGCTTATTCTTCTATTTATTTTATTTACTTACTCTATCTTCTACAGGGTGGTTGGTAACTGGTGGTACAAGCGGAAAGGGGGTGATTCTACGCGAAAAAAGAAGTCGAAAATATAGAATAAACATTTTTCGTTTGAGGTCTTGTTTTCGAGAAAATCGACTTTGAATTTTCGCTCGGTACGCGTGCACTTTATCGCCTCTCGTCATAACTCACTGTAGATCGTTGTCTCGATGGAAAAATAAAAAAAAAAAAATTTTTATTCCATATTTTCGATTTCTTTTTTCGCGTAAAATCACCCCCTTTACGCTTGTACCACCAGTTACCAACCACCCTGTATATCTCTTTCTTTGAATTTGCGCTCGGTACGCATGCACTTTATCACGTCTCGTTATAACGGATCTCATTGTTAGATCGTTGTCTCGATGGAAAAATAAAAAAAAAAAAATTTTTATTCCATATTTTCGATTTCTTTTTTCGCGTAAAATCACCCCCTTTACGCTTGTACCACCAGTTACCAACCACCCTGTATATCTC